TTTGTCTCACGTTATCCGGCGCACTTATATACAGGAATAGAGGGCGCCTAGCACATACTGGATTATTCGTGATGTTCCCCGATCCTTCTAGAATATCATGACGTGCTACCAGCGCCACGTGACTACCGCTGTCGTAACAGTATTGAAAGAATGAATGTTGTTCCGCAGGACGTGAGAAAAACTTGGATAAAAGATAATAAAAATAAATTGACACGTCTAAATGAAAACGTTGCATAAAATAAAACTATAAAAAGTTTTCATTTATTCTTTATTATGTATTATTCACACAAATTCTCGTATTACACCTGATGATGCCATGTCCTGGTGAAACTGTGTATAAAAGAAACAAAAGTTTCACTATGTACAATCGATAAAACTTGCGTGAATTAAAACAAAAACATAGTTCTTTCTAATATTTATTATGTATTATTTTGTTATTTATGTAAAGCAGGTTTTGACGTCACGTGATGAGCGCGTGACTCAACATTTGAAATTATCTTAAAAGTGTAGAAAACGACTTCAGCTATATAAAACATGAGTTGATCAGTGAACTTAGATGATTATTGTTAAGTTAGAGTTTGTCCTTCAATTTCGTGAGTATTGAGCTTGTCCTAATTTAGGATCTTCTTTTTAATAAATTCTTGAAAATGTTAAAAAGCGAGAGAGAGAAAGGGGGCCCGGCGAGGATGTTTGGCCGGGGCCCGTGCTGGTTCTCGACGTTCCTGGTACAGAGGATAAGAAATATTTGGTAATCATAAACGTTTATTTTTCTTTATATTTTAAGACACAGTAGGTAATATATGTGTTAAAATACCAAAAGAATATTTATTAATTAACATTTATTCACCACTTAAAACTTTTTACACACTGACTATATAACGTTAGTAATTGTAGGCATATCTGCAGTAAAATTTAAGCGTTAGGCTTACATAAATGTAACATAAGGCTTTGCTGAAACACTACTTATTAAATTCTATTTTGCTTTTGGCTACAATTCAGTGTCATAAAACTTCTGAATTAAACTATTTTGCTGTTACATCACCGAAGTTATAAAAAATAACGAATAAAAAACAAACCTTTCTAACAAATTAACATAGACATTGAGTATTTAACATAAACACCATATGTGACCTAAGAACAATCAGGTTGCCAAGCGACGATGTATATTGTTGAGCATTACCAAAAAAGGAGTGTGAAAGCGTTCTCGACAGAGTGACAAAGGGAATAAGCCTTTTATAGTTAGTGATGTTTATGACGTTAGGCCTATCGTTACTTCATGAAACTGTGCAAGTTTTAATATACCTATCTCAAAAACAAAACGTTTTCATTAACTGATTAAGTGCTAAGTAGATTCGACTTTGTATTATTCGGTTACTTAATAATCCTGAAGAATCTGCCCAACAATAGTAACAGTTAGAATAATACAATTAAACATATGTTTTCAAGTGTTTGTTTATTAATATTAGTATTACATTAGACTGTCCTGTTTCACTTTTAGTTTGACCAAAATCCAATAGCTTTTGTTACCTGATTGCAGTGGGCAGTCATCATGATTCGTAAGAATACTTATTAGGTAACGTCCTATTTTAAAGAAAAATTCGCGAATCTTAGTTGTTTGACATTTGTCAGTCTAGAGTTGACTAGAAAGAACGTGATACTATCAGTAGCCATGACAACAACATCGATTCCGCCTGTGGGACGCCTAGAGAATGAGCAGTCTGCTAAGGTCGTGCATTCTGCCTTTGTTTCAGGGGGCTAATATTTTGCTTCATTAACATTCTCTGAACAAGATATAATATACCTTTCATAAAACAGTGTATAATAAAAAATTACATCAGATTACCGACATTTTAAACGTTTTATTTATAGCATATTTAAAAACATTGTTATATTATAGTTGTTATGGTTTATTTACTATGCCGAGAAAGAAATGGACGAAGTTCTTAATTATCATGCCGCTTTTTAAACTGCCATTTTCAAGTGTTGCAACTGCTTATAGGCCATTAGCTAAAGGGATAATAAATTTTGGTAATATATCAAGTTTTAATGATTTTTTTTTCAGTATACATGTCCAGTACAATATTTTGATAGCCGCTTCCCGCACTGCGTTTGAAAATGGGGATAAAATAGGCATGAATAATGTTGATGCCAAATTTTATTTAATCACACTATCATTTACATTTCAAAATCTGACGTAACTTAATGAATAAAAATTTAGATTTACCGTATGTTATTGTCGAGGAGCTCTTTGCATGGCTGAAATGCTCAACAATTACTTTTCGCGGTGGGCGGTATAAATAATTCAGAGCTTTGGTTCTGAGTGAAATCAAGAGTGTAACACAATTAACCATTTTAATGTCCATGAAATAATCTAAATTGATAGATTAACTTAAATTTTTCCCGTTACTGGGGACAGGTACTTTTGCTAAATGAACTTAAACTTTCCCCGTTACTGTGGACGGATACTTTTGCTAGATTAACTTAAACGTTTTCCGTCACTGGGGACAGGTACTTTTGCTAGATTAATTTAAACTTTTTCGTCACTGGGGACGGGCACTTTTGCTTGTACTTATATAATTGAAAGTAATCAATATAAAATCGGTATTTATTTACAATGAATACCATTGCTGCTGGAAATGAAAAGAGGATTACACCAATATAAAATTTTAAAATGCATGTTTCACTGTGCACG